TAGCAGAAATTCATTTTTTCACAATTCTGGAGGCTAGCATCCCAGATCTGGAAGCCAACATGGTCAGAATCTGTTGAGTTTTCATCTTGATTTATAGATGGCTGCCTTATATGTCATTACATGGAGAGAGGACAAGCTCTCTGGGGTCAGGGGAGACGGTGCCTCTTCTTTAAGGCCATTTATTCCATTATCTGGGTCTGGGCACCACCCTTATGACTTCATCTAGCCCTAATTCCTCTTAAAGATCCCATCTCACTTGGGTGTTAGATATTCATATATTAATCTGGGAAGGTTCATATGGTTTGTGTATGTGTCTTCTATAAGGATTTATCATATTAACCCTGATACATTCCTCATGATAAGTATGCAACTTATTTAAATTCTAAAGAAGTCTCTTCCTAAGGGGAATTAAACAGCAAGCATTATGCCTATACCAGATGTTAAATACAAAGTGTAGCTGGGTTAAATGATGATAAAAGTTGTATCTACAATAAAGGAGATGGGAGGTTTTAATTTTAATAGGAGAGATTATTGAACAGATTTTGGCAGTTACCAAAATTTATGCATTAACTAAAGGATGACCATGGAGCATCTGCCAAGTTTAAAGTGATTAACAAAATAATGAAAATAGCACTACTAGTATAAAAAAAATTCTTTATGGTTTCTTGAACATGTAAACTTGAGTAACTATTTTCACTTTGCCCGTATTTCTTGGTTTTTACTATTCTCTTGCTTTTTCTAGTCTATTTATGCTCATAAGTTTCCTGGGGACTAGGAAATTTTTGTTTTATTTATTTAGTTTATCCTCTTCCCCAAACCTAGCACTCTTCTGTGAATATATTATGTTTTCAGTAAAATTCAATAAATAGTGACTTTGTTAAGTAAATGCTTTTAAGAGTAGGGTCTGGGAGAAGGAATGTAGTAAATACTTGCAAAACTTTCATGCCATCCACACACAGAAAGCCAGAACTATAACTGGTGAACAGTTTATAACTAATTACTGCCTTCAAATTAAAAAAAGGATGATGATAGTTCTCAGGAAAATAAAAGCAAACTGGACTTAATACTTTTACTTAGAAAGGGCTCTTAAGCGCTTTTGCTGGATGTGGGGATGGGGGAAAACCATTGAAATCCAGCAGCTGAGCCCTCTTCCTCTGTCCTTTTCTCACTTCCTTCACCCTCTCCTTCAAAAAAGTTTTATTGAACTCTTGTGCCAGACACCAAGCACACAAAAATGACAAGATATAACCCCTTTGCTCAAGGATCTGACATTTTAAGTGAAGATAGATAATCATGTAATTAGAATGTGGTGTGGCAACTTCTATAATGGAAGTAGTCTGGAAGCTTGTTGGAAATACAGAGGATGGGAACTTCATTCAGATTTGAAGAGTCACAGAAGACTTCCCACATTTAAGTTAAGCCCTGAATGACAAATAGTGGAAAGCGGGGGTCTCAGTGATGGAAATAAGCATTAGTGGGTAGCCAGGCAGAGAAGCCTATTACACTTTAGATATAAAGATCAAGATCTTTAAAAATTTATGTCTTGGTTTGCACAGTCTTTTACCTATAAGCGGATCAAAACAGTCCCGCTATAAAATACAACTGCTGAAGTACAGTGTTAACATCATCATTCTCCAGACGTGCATCCTTGACACATAGCCCATCATAAATTATCTGTGATCCAAACTCCATCTTTGTCTGTATGACTCTTCATAACTCTGCTTGGACACAAATTATTTGCTTATTCCTTATATACACACTGAAAGAGATTTTGTCAGTGCGGAATATAAGACAACTACTAAATTAAACTCTTCATTGTGTACAATTTAGAAGAGAACAGGCACCTATTTTGTTTTGGAATATGAAAGAATCTCACTTCATTCTTGCTATGTTTCTCATGAAACATTATCATGTTCCACCACAAAAACAAAAAAAAAAAAATTGTTTTTTATATAGCTATGTATATATATACATATATAATTTAAATTTTCTTATACAGCAAAGCTTCAAAACCCCAAAATTTTCAGTTATAGTCTCAGAGTACAGTGTTTTCATTCTTCTGATAATAATTCTGAATTAAAATGTATTTCTTATATCTACTCATAGTACTCTTGATTAATAAAGTGATTATAATAGCTTTCACCTTGGTTTACAAAGAATAAGGGAACTAGTAAGTAGCATATACTTTTAAAATTTGTTAACAAAAAATTATAACTTTTAAAAATATATTCTGCTTCACAGACTGTAGAGGTTTATTTTACACATTCAAAAAAGCTTTTCCTTTCTCTACTTAATGATTCTACTGAAAATTGTCTACCATGCTTCCAAAAAAGAGCACAAAAGATTTCTGATTGAGCTTTGTTCACACTGAATGAGGTGGGAGGTTACATAGACCAAAAGAACCATAGAAAAGCCAGAACATGAGTTTTAAAGTTAGAAGATTCTAATTCAAGTCTTATTTCTTCCTTCCTAACTCTTTCCTTCTCTAAACAATAGGAATAATAATCAGTCAACTAAAGTGTTATAAGATCTGAGTTTTTGAAGGATGTAAAATCACAAATAAGCTAAGTTTCTGTAATTATTGTTATTAGTGATGCAAAAATTCTTTCCTGGGAAAATATGGACAGCGATTTTTATGAAATTGCCCTAGGAAATATGTTGGATGAATTGTACACTAAAATGGAAAAGTCTATGGAAAAAGGATTAAAATCACTGAAAGTGCAATTCAGTGAAAAATCAAAGTGACCCACTATCTTGCAAGTTCTTTTATTTTGGCATGATAGAGGATTCTGCTTGTGAGATCTTAATTTTTAATCATACTCTCAAAGTATATAATACTCTGTCTGACAAAAGCCTTGGTTATATTGTAGAAACAGTAGAAAAATTATTTCATGTAGTTTTTTGCTCCATTCTTGACCTTGACAGAAGGTAATTTAATTTGAAAATTACAAGTTTATTTTTCTTTCAAGAATGAAAAAAAGTGAGCTTTTGTTAGTAGAGTAATTCTTTAGTTTTTCTTATACCTACCTTAAACTTAATTTCTAGCTACGGTAAATAAGTTAGGCAGCAAGAAGGCAAGTTAGTATACCTCTAAGCCATATACATTAATAATTCATTATGAAACTGCCTTTTTATCTTAAAAAAATTTTGTGAAAATGTTCTTTCCAATTTCATTTTATAGGCCTGAAGAACAGATAGTTATATGTAAGACATTCTGATAATTGAAAGAAGTGGACTTAGATAATAGTGTAATTAGATGACCACAGTTGTGAAAAGGCAACTGTGATTGGGTTATTAGGTATGTACATTTCATATTTCTAGAAGGGGACTGGAAAGATGACCAGAAGGATGCAAATCAGCTGCTCAGGGCAATTTCCTCTATTAAAGGAATTAAGTATGTACACAGGGACAGGGAATGGTAACTTTCACATTTTGCTTTCAAAGTTAATGTTTAATTAGAATTTTTGAAACATGTATCTATGTATTGTGCTAAAAAAGAGAAGTGAACCACAGTAGGAACCAATTATTCTGTCCATATTGTTAGGTTGACTTCCAGATAGCGATTAGACTTCTGCAGTGGCTACAAACGCTGTTTTCCAAATGTACTTTAATAAAAACACAAATACTTAATGACTATCTAACAGTATAGTTTAATTCAGTTAAGTCTGGAATGTAGCATCCACATTTTGATAGAAGATAACATCAGCACGCTTAAGATCAAGTTTTCTGAAATGGCATGGGTGATGCTTTTGAGCAGTCACTCCTGATGGATTAATATGACCAGGGCAGACATGATTTATCTTTACTGAGATGCTCCACTGCACTAGAAATGATACTCAACTTTTATGCTTCTTTTTTTTTAACTGCCTGCCTTGCCTCTAAAAGACCCAAAGAAGACAAAAACATACAACTGCTTACTTGCTAAGTTAAGGTCGGTGTTCTTTAAACAGTTGGCTGGACCCTTACCCTCTAATTACCTTATAATGCTAAGCCATGACAGAAGGCCTGTCAGCAGATTTTATTTACAACCCTTGAGGAAAAATCCTCTTGCTGTTTTCACTTCTTACAGAAGATAAATTTGCAAAAGGTAACATCCGAAGGTATTTCAGATGCTCACTGTCTGGAGGTGTTGATAATGCAATTCTTTTTCTTAATTATGGTATATTCTATAATGCTTTGTCACTCATGTAGCCCATCATGCCCCAACTGAGTGAATTTATTGATTGAAGAGATACAATTCGTGCAATCACTTGGAGTGTTTACCCTTTCTCATAGTATAAACTTAGATTCTGGCTATGAAGTGATTTTATGCTGAATTCTACTGTTGAGAAAGATGCCACGCTCCACTAGACACACCTACAAAATGTCTTTCATCCAGATAAAGTAAGGCCAGCTGACCTGAATAAACACTATTGGTAATTATCAGAATTCACTAATATTTATCAGATATTAAATATCATATGTGTCAAAATATTATGCAAACAATACATAAAAACAGAGTTTCTTTTTTCTTTTACTAATAAACTAAGAATCACATAATCCACAACAGCTGCCAAATAAAAATTCTGTTTGTGTAAGAGTCTATCTAAAGTATCTCCCAAATAAAAATGTACTGAGGGAGATAAAGTATTCACTTTCCCCTTCAAGTAGTAGGGAAAAATCAATGTGGCTTGATATTTCTAAACTGTGTTGCTGAGCATGTGAACAGCATCCCAAAAGTGATATGGGTTCTCAGGCCAATGAAAAGTCTGTCAAAATCATACAAAGCAGCAAGTGAAAAGTCAACTGTGGAAATACTTGTAAAATAAATATGCTGGCTATTGTTTGGACTAACTCTCATGGGTGAATCACTATCTTTCATAATACCACTACGCAGTATAAACAATAAATGATCTAAAAGTATACATTTTAGAAACCGGTTACATCTTCACCTGTTCACAAATATAATAAAAGAAAGAAATTAAAGAGGGCACAAATAAAAGAAAACTGCATTTACTTACTGTGTTAAAATTTGGAAAGAGCCCAACAGCGGAATTACTGTCCATTGGAAAAGACATGAATGGTTTAATATCCAGTGAAGGCTGCATCATCAGGGTAGGTGTGCGCACCAGAGCAGGGAGGGTAGTAGTGTGGCATGTACTACCTGCCCAAAACAAACAAAAAAAAATGAATTCAATCTCTCACCCACATCCATATCCCTCCACAACCTACAACACAAAAATAAGAGTACTGAGCTGCAACTTGCAGGAAAGAAAGTTGCCCTGGAAGTAGCATGGAATGGCACAGGAGGAAGAAATAGAGGTAAAAGGCAGGAATCCTGCTCATTTTCTAAGACTGTGATTCAGAATGTGTCTGTATGGTAAGAACCAAAGACTCCTCTCACTCAGCTGAGATACATAGTACCCAGATTCTTGCCTGCAAGTGGGGCAGAATATTGTGGTGTTCAATCATTGCTGTTGATTAAAATGTAGGAGGAGGGGAGCAACCTCTTGAAATGGCATGCTCTTTACTATTCAGAATAACAGAATACTAGTAGACATGTTTTATACAAATTAGAGATAATTATTGGGTCTTTACAAGGAGAAGAAACCTTGGTCTCTTATAGTTATTGTCTGCTCCCAAGAATGTTATGACTCAAACTATTTGTTCTCTAAAAAAACAAGTGGAAATTTCTTCTTACTTTGAGGGAAATAGGTTGTCTAGATTTTGGATATCTAAATCTCTAAATCTAAAGAGAATCTAAAAGGAATGATTATAGTGTGGGTAAGAGCAGGGTATTGGGGGACACGGAAGAATCAGGACAGGAGCTCAAATTTTTGTCTTCAACTTCTATTTCTAGTAAGTTTTACATTATTTTAGCACCTCTCCCTTTTAACAATTACATTAGCTGTCATCTCTTTAGATATCTGTTTTAGCACATGTGTAGGGGATTTAAAGCACTCTTTAGCAATAAGCATTTTTCTTCAATCTGTAGCCTCCAGAGCCTGCAGATAAGTAACTGCTGATGCAGATGGCTCACCAGGAGACAGGCTCTGGTAAGACTTTTTAAAAATATATATATAACAGCTTTATTGAGATAAAATTCACATACCAGAGAATTCACCCACTGTATCCAAGTGTACAACTCAATGTTTTTTAGCATATTCAAAGACTTGTGTAACTATCGCTACAATCAACTTTAGAACATTTTCATGACCCCTAAAAGAAACTCCATATCCATTTTAGCAGTCATTCCACATTTTCTCCCAAAACCCTCAGCTTCTGCCAACCACTAATTTATTCTCTGTCTGTATAGCTCTCCTTATTCTGGACATTTCATTTAAATGAAATCATCTGAGTTTTTTGGCGAATATTTTCTTTCATTTGGCATAATGTTTCCAAGGTTCACTCCTGGTACAGTGTAAGTTTTTTTGTATCTATCTATCTATCTATCTATCTATCTATCTATCTATCTATCTATCTATCTATATTCAGTTTTTTTAGGTATGTCTCTAAGTGTGGAATTGGGGATGGTTGTGTCACATGGTAATTATATAACTGATCCTTTTGAGAACTTCAAGAATGTTTTCCAAACAGCTGAAGCAATTTACATTTCCACTAGCAATGTATGAGTATTTCAATTTCTCCTGGCTTGTCCATATAGAACCTCATGTAACTATATGCCCTAATGCCCCTACTAACTTCAAGGAAAAATGAACATGGGAAAATGCCCCAACTATTAAAATGTCTACCAATGTTCTTATCGTGTTCCTGAATAATTAAAATCTTTATTTCAATGAATTTTTTGTAATGTATTTCCTTAAGAAAATCTGCATCATATTTCAAATCATTGCAGAACATTTTTAGCAATAGCATCCAGGGGACCATCAACCTCATTTACATTGATCCTAAAAACAGAAAAAAGAATAGTGCCATCTAAAACATTTATCTGTAGTGGGAGTCTTTATATCTATGCCATTTGTCAGGGAATAGAGTATCAGTAAATGAGAGAATGAAGCAAAAGAAGAGATCAAACAGTATTGTTTTTACTGATTTCCAAGTAAACACTCTGAACACAGCCTACCATTCACATAACCACCCTGTATTTAATTCCATGTTTCTTCTAATTAGTTAAGGTGACATTCATTGCCAACTTTGGAACTTATGGATTCAAGATGATGTACTATATCGATATGACAAACATTGCAGAGGCACTTATTAAATATTTTAAAAACTTTCCTTTAAAATCTTAGCTAAATTGCAAAACAGATATTTCTTACATTAAAGCAGTGACTTTTTATAAGGTATAATTATTATTGTTGTTAAAAAAACTAAAACATAAAATGTATACCTTAGTATTCTACTTTAAAACTGCCTGGTGAACAAATGTATGATTTTGCCATGATGGATCTCCCAAAGCGAAGAAAAAAATTTTCTTCCCAAGCCTACAAATAGACACTCTGGTAATACTGTGTAATACATGGCCCCCTATGGGCCTGGTGAGAGTCACTTTGTACTAACAAACTCAAAGCAAATAGAATGCAGCAACTTGACAGATTGCTCCATCAACAAAGGTCAGAATGCACAATGATCCTCCCTTACCCAATCAAATATCTATGCTAATAAAGACAAGGCTTGTGAACTACTTAGATGCCACCATTAATTAGCATAAAAAACTTAGCAGCTGTTTACCATTTCATTAGCATTTTAATGACAGACAATTTGCCATGTTAAACACAGATTGTTTTAAAGTACTGGTAGATCTTCTGAATAAATATAAACTATGCTTTCATCAATTCCCTCACCTCAGCCTTGTGCTTTTCACTTTGAAACATGCTTTTTAATATTTCTTCACCAAGATGAACACTTCAAAGGAAGTTTTTCCAAAGGAGAAATGAACGGGGAAAAAGTGCATTTTTTGCACAGGTTAGTTCATGCTTTGATCCCTCTGCCACCTTATTTTAGATTTTACTGTTGCTGCTGCTGCTGTTCAGAGGCATTTCTTCTCACCTCAGAATACACCAATGTCAGGATGCAGAAATTTGGTGAAAATGCATTGCATCCTGCAAGAAAACACTTAATATCTCTAAAGCTCAAGGATTCCAAGAAATAAATAGGGTTGAAAATATAATGAGCAGGTTTGTAAACACAAAGGGTGGTTTGGGACAGGACCAACTTTTGTCTTTTGTATGTCAACCTTATACAAGATACCTGCTTTAGCTACTTCTGTTTCAAAGCATAGGATATAATCTTGTATACATCACAATGAATCAGTTCAAAACAGTGTTCCAAACCTCATTTGAAAACAAGGTACTTTACAGCACTTGATGTACACATATTTAACTAAATGTTCTAAAATTAAATACATACACAGGCATGCATACCACAAAGATCTAACAGTCACCACTCTTGCCACAGAAATTCCACAGGTTCATATACTCTCTTATAAGAATACACTTGTATTCTTCCATAAATTTAATTTTGATGGTAAATCTAAGTTGTATTCCTCTATAACTATGAAAATAAGAATATGTGAAAGACAACTCACTACTGTGATTATAAAGAAAACTATTATTTCAGCCAACTGTCTCTGTAACATAATAGGTACTTTATTATGTCAACGGTTTATGTCATAATCCATCACAATAAAGCCTCATTTGAGGATCAGGTGACTATGAAATTGCTGCTTTAGTCTTTGACCTTTAGAAATATAATCTTGAAGGTCTATTTAGGTGATACCCTTGAGGCTTCTGTACTGGCAAGAAATATTGGGGTGAGGCCAGAGGCACTGTGATGAAAGAATTCATTAGAGACAGAGTGAAGAACAGAAAAGGTGGATTTGTTGAAGTATACTTTTTTTTTAACTGTAGTAGTATTTTTCAAAAAATTTTAATTTATTTTTTACATCATTGTTCATTTTTAAACAATATTTGCTTCCCCCGCCCCTCCCACCATATAGTCCCCACAGAATTTCCTTCAGCACCCGAAGTAAGAAAGCAGGTGAAAATGGAGTATAATACACTTCTCTTAGTTTTTCCTAATGCTAAGTTATTTGCTGGGATATCTAGTCTTAGGCATTGATCTTTGACACAAAATGTATCCTGGCCCTGCTTCCCCGTTCACGGAGGAAATGATCAGGTCTTTTGGTCTGGTACCCTTATTAGCAGCTTTATCAATTCCCTTATCTATTCAAACTACCCAAACCTGTGGGCTGGGCAAAGAGTGGGGGCTTAATTTTACCTTATTAAATATTTACCCTGGCAGCTTCCTAGCGGGTCATTTTTTTGGAACCATAACTCAAACAAACATACTTCAGCTTTAGAAAGGCAAATCTGCATGGAAAAGGATTTATAAAATGAAATAAAATCTGTCTGTCTCTCTCCTTACCTACCTATCTTTCTTATAAACCCTGAAGTATTTCCTTTTTATGCCACTATTATGTGTGTCTGCTTTAGTGAGTATTAAAATTTAAAAAGTATAAAAATCTGTTGGGGGTGTAACAAGGTGGTCCTCAGGGAAAGGGGAGGTTCCAGGCTCCATGTCTCACCCAAGGGATGGTGGAGCTGAGCAGGGAGGAGAAGCTGGAGAGGAGACTGGGGAAGGAAGGAAGCAGGATGGAGAGGAAGGAGACCTGGAGGAGGCGCATGGAGCAGAGAGAAGTGAAGAAGCTTTGCTTGCTTCTTAGCCTTGGACTGGTACCAGGGACTTGGAGGACATGGAAGGAGATATTTGAAACAGGTGTGCGTCAGAGACCTATGGGAAGGTTAACAATGGCAGCATTTATCTTGATTTTGATTTTGCTCATTTCCTTCCAGGCTTGTGTGGCCTTTTCTGCCTCTTTTCTATGAGTTCCCACCAGAAGGTGATTTAGACTTATGGCAAGCTTTTGGGCCTCAGTGGCCCTGCTTTGGGCCAATGCTGTTTGGGTGGGCATTTACCCATGAGGGGATGGGTAACTCTGGGTGCTTGATTGGAAACTATTTTATCTAGTCTTTCCCTTTTCTTGTCTTTATTGCACACTATATGTATTAAAATTCTTTTCCATTAAAGGTCTTACACTCTAGAGTAGGTCTTGATGTGGTGGGTCTAGAACCTATTTAAAGCAGGCTGGTTTGGGGGTTCAGGGGGACCCCTCACCCTGTCCAGTAATAGGGGGAGAC